GGGAAGAATTATTCTTTACGTGCAGACGATCTAATTGGTTGTCATTGACCAATCAGAAGCTGATATTTCCTGAAAATATTTACTAAGCTGAGAAGGCTCTGATACACTTTTTTGCACAAAAATGTACAAAATTAGGCATTGATAAGGGAGTGTTAGTGGGGTGTTACAAGATCTTATTTATGAGTGGCCCTTTTTTTAAATATAAATAGCCTCCATTATTTGCAATCTTTTCTTATTATTTCAGTGACGTAAAATGTTAGTATTTTCTATTAAAAACCGACGTAAAATATTGGATATTATAGAGATGTTTGATGTGACAGTAAATTGTACTGTTGAGTGAGATTGCAAGTATGTCGGCGGAAAGGAGATGTGGTGGTAAGATCAATGTATATAATTGTCTCTTTTTTTATTTATTTATTTATTATTATTTTTTTGCTTTTGTTTTTTAAGATCAGAAATAGTTTCCTAACGGACATTTAAATTGGTATATGACATTGGACGTTTAGCATTAAATGTCTTTTGAGAAGTGTTGTTGGCGATAGCGAGCAGGATGTTTTAAATATGTAACCTCAACATTTATAAGTTTGTTATGAATAAATTTATTATTCTTTCAACAAAACATACAAAAAGTATGCTAAATATACGTTATTCTATATAAGAAACTAACCAATTGTCTCTATCTACCCTGATGATGATTACGAAAGTCGAAACTTTGGACCATATTTCTTTTTTGACGGAATTTTCTCCTTGACTGAGAAGGTTTATTTGTGATTTGAAAAATCAATCTTTGCTTTAAAGAACATTTGCTGCTTAAAACACAAATAATATAAACGAATTTATTAATTACTCTAGTTTTTAATTGTTTTATAAAAATGTGATACAAAGTTCTGATTTCCGATATTGTGAATCATAAACAGGATTTCATTTTGTTGTGGATTCCGAGATGAAATTCGGTCTCCAATGAATGACAAACGCAAGAATTAAATAAAAGAAATAAAATGTATTTACACAATAATACAAAGGGTAATACTGTTAGTAAATCCAGGAACGCGGTTAGTAGCAATAACATATAGATATATACAGTCTCGAAGTAGGACTCCCTTAGAGTCTACGTGCTTGTAACTGACTTCTACAAGCGGTTACCTCACACTATTACTCTACCTCCAACTCAATCACAATCTCAGTCTTCTGACTATCTCTCTGTCCTCTGACTGACTGTCTAGGTCTGGGTATTTAACGGCAGCAGTCCAAGTAACACTTTGGTCGAGTCCACTTATATGAAAGAGGGGTCGACCCCATAACACATTTTATTTAAGCAAAACGAAACCAAAGAGGGGAACTTTCCTTTCTGTGCATTCCAGTTATTGATTGTTGGATGAGAAAAAAAAACCCCAGAAGGGGACTAATAGTCAATTGTACATATATTCCGTACAGAATGAATAAAAAAATGAATTGTTACACTGAAATAAACAAAAAAGCAGAAAAACTAATTAACAATTTTTTATCTACTTTCTACTGAGCACACAATATATATATATATATATATATATATATATATATATATATATATATATAGAGAGAGAGAGAGAGAGAGAGATGTGTGGGCTTATACATTCTTTTTATAGATACAAATATTTAAGTAAATGCTCTGTTTTATAATAAACAGTATTAAACAACATTTACCCAGAAATTGTCATATAAAATTTTCGTCCTCCGATAGGAATCGAACCTGTATCCTATACGGAATCGTCATATAGCCTGACGTGCGCTTAACCGTTTCGGCGACAGAGGAGAATTGCTTAGCAAGGTCGATTTTACTGCTAATCGAACGCTCCTCTGTGGCCGTAACGGTTAAAGGCACGTCAGTATATTTGGCATTTAAAATAAGCGGAATTTGTATACATGTGTGTAAAAAATATTTTAGAGTTGTGAATATTAATTTTCTTTTCTTTATTAAGCATAAAGGGAGATTACTTGTTCTTTAAAAATCAGTAATTTACATTAAAAATTAATATGCATTTACGTATTTAAGCAGATATTTATTTTTATGCCTATATTCATTTCTCTCTTAATAGGTCTGTTGCTTTATTGCACCAGCACTATATGTGCGATATATATATATATATATATATATATATATATATATATATATATATATATATATATATATATGCATGTGTGTGTTCGTGTGCACAAACGTATAAATACAGGAATATGCACAAAATTCAATCAATAATGAATAGAATATTGAAAACATAAACAATAATGAATAGAAATTTTAAACATAGCTTCCTACAATTAATACCTTAATAGTACTTAAGATACCACCAAATCAGATAAGAAACGAAATAATACCGAAGTGAAGATATATATAAATATTTACTTTATCATTTAAGCTTTAAAATTAATTATTTATGTGAAAAATGAAATACAATTTTCCTTAATAGAAAAGACTAAAACGCTCAAAAATTAAAAACAACAGCCTGTCTGGAAAAAAAAAAACCCAAAAAACAAAACAAAAAAAACAAAACCGAATTCAAATTACAACAAATCACATCAATTAAAAAAAAAGAGGAAAAAGAAAAAGGCTAATAAGTGAGAGTAAATGTGGAGGGGGGGAGAAAGAAAATACGACGAAAAGGAAAAATAATTACGACACAACAACGTACGCACATCCGCACAGACGGGCGCATGGGCGCACATCCACAAACGCACATACGCATACATGTGAATGTGCGCAAAAAATAAAAAAACAAAAAAACAAAAAATGCTCCAATGATAAGTGTACATTAAAAAGAGAAATCGAGAAGTATATGTAGTCAATTGCTGAGGAGTGGACGAATCTCTGCAGTCGGGAAACCCTTTACTTGTATTAATTATACATATATATATATATATATATATATATATATATATATATATATACTACTACTACTACTAATAATAATAATAATAAATGCACATTTTGTGCCGCACCGTTAGCACAATTCAGACCTGGCGACTGCCTCGTGCTAACGATCCGGAACAAAATGCATATTTATTAGTAGTATAAATTTTTGTTCTCTCATTATACATCGGACGGCCAATCTTTTATTGCCAACCGCATTCACTGTACGCGACTTCATATATATATATTGTGTATTTGGGCAACAATCCTTCTTTTATGCAAGTTTCGTTGAAAACGACTGACAAATTGTGTTGGTTGGGATTTTTATATAATTTCTTATGTGTTCATATACTTTTTTCTTTTCAAGACATAAATTATATAAAAATTTTTCCGAATATTTTCCAAGCACTTTCGGCTATATTTTTAGCCATTATCAAGGATGAATTTTATTTTACTTGTAACTGAGTATATGCATTGTTTTATGCGTGTATCAAGAGTTATAGGAATGTTTTAACTTCCAAACACGGTCACCACATCGTGACCGTGTTCATAGTTAATATTATTGTTGAGTTTGTTTTTTTTTTTATTAATAATGTTTCCATTAGTTTTATCCTTTTTGTACACGTGGATGATGATAATATATTGTATTATCAATTTATCTATTTACGGATAGGTAGGTTTCCATATGAACAAAATTATATGAACACATGAGAAATTATATAAAAATTCAACCACCACACCTTGTCAGTCATTTTCAACGAAACTTGCATATATATATATATATATATATATATATATATATGTATATGAGGAAGAAAAAAAAGTCTTGAAATAAAGCCCGAATGATTTAAAGCAATTGAAAGAAGCAAAGAAGTGAAACCTGGGTTAATAATGGAAATGAAACCAACCAGACGACAGAATTGCTAAAATCAACGGGAATAATGAATGTCGGTGGACTTGCTGTCAATTTATTTCTCGTGAAAGCCACCTGGTGTAAAAACATAACAAGTAGAAATAATAATAATAATAATAATAATAATAATAATAATAATAATAATAATGATGATGATGATGATGATGATGATGATGATGATGAGAAGAAGAAGAAGAGGAGAAATAATTAATAACAGAAGAATGGAAAACTTCACAAAAAGAAGAAAAGTTTCTGAGAAGATTGTTTCTTTTTTAATGCTTACGAATTGAGCAAAATTTTGCATTTGAAATTTTATTAAATTATTTTGTTATTGTTGTCATTTCATTGATTTATTTATTTTCTGCTTCGCCCTTCTTTTGCTTTCCATTTTCTTCGTTCTTCCCATCTTGAACCCCAAAATCTGCAAAACGATTCTGCGTTCTTTTGCAATAGATTTTTGGCAAACTGAAATTTTCTTCAAGATTTTCCGTGTTGAGAGTTAACCAAGTTATGGGCAAAAGGAAATCTAATTCATGTCATTTGTTAATAACATTTCGCGAATATACTTCCTGTCAAGACGGATCATCGAAGAGCGGAAGTTGGCAAATACCAGAGGCTATAAGCGATGTTTGGCAGAGAAGAATGGAGGATGCATCAGTAAAAAGCAAGAGGGGGAAAAAGGAAGTAGAGGTAGAAAAGTGCAAAGTTTGTGTGGGAAGGAGGCAAAGAAATAGAAGCGGTTAAAATTAGAAAAGCAAGAGGAAGAGGAGAAGAAGATTAGAGTTCGAGTCAGAATATTCAAAAAGGTGGAATGGAGAAAAGAAAAAAAAACTTCAAGCAGAAGGAAATAATGGCGGATCAAGTGATGAAGACGAAAAGGAAAAAATGGGATTGAAATTGTGCAGAGAAATGAAGAAAGGAAAAAACAGGGAGTTATAAAGGAAACGAAAACGAATTAAAGGCGGAAGTGAAAAGTAATATAAAATATTAAAAATGGAGAAAAAGAAGTGAGAGTGAAGAAAAAGAAGAGACGATAAACGAGATGGTGGTGGGGGGAAAAAGAAAAGAAGTTAAACAATGGATATCGAAAGAAAGAAAAGGAAATGAATAAAAAAGAGACAATGAATGAAAATAGGATGAATGATTAAGTAAAGTTAGAAGTGGAACGAATAGAATAAAGGAGAAAATGTGTTGAAATAATCAGGTCGAGAAGAAGAAAAAGGAAGGAAGGAAGGAAGGAAGGAAGGAAGGAAGGAAAGAAGGAAGGAAGGAAGGAAGGAAGGAAGGAAGGAAGGAAGGAAGGAAGGAAAGAAGGAAGGAAAGAAGGAAGGAAGGGAAGAAGGAAGGAAGGAAAGAAGGAAGGAAGGCAAAGCAAAGAATGATCAAAGCCAATAATGAAGAATAAAAGGGGAGGAAAAGAAAGAAACAGTTATTAAACAAGCAAGGAGGAGGAGGAGGAAAAGGGGAAAACTAAAAGAAAAACGATAAGCATGAGACTAAAAATTTTGAAGAAGAAAAAAATGAGGAGGAAAAAGAAAAGCTTAGAAAAAGAAAGTAAAAGACAGATAGATTAAAGAAAGAGGAGGAAGCTGAGAAGTGCTGACAGGAATCTTTAAAAGGAGGAAAAAGTGGTTTTAGAAAAAAGGAAAACAAAAACGTACAAGAAGCGTTAGGAAAAGAAAAACATTTTGGAGAAAGGAGAGATGAGGAAGAAATAGCCGAAAGGTAAAAAATAAAAAAAGATGATAATTATAAAACTTAAAAAGAAAAGAAAAGGCTGATTGATTGGGGTGGGGAGATGTTGTCGTTAGCAATGACATATTACTGAATTAAGAAAAAGTAGAAATATAGATGTGTAAATCAAAAAGAGGAAGACAAATATTTCATTCGATTTTATTACATCCACTTCAAGAATAACGAGAAATCTTGTCCTTCGAAACTGTTTTATCCAATTATTAATGGAACTGGTCGGCCATCTTCAAATTGATTCGATACAAGTAAGAAGTCCGAGAACTGATAATCGTTGGAGGTGGGTACAGACAGAAATCTAATGGTGCTTTGGATAAAGTGCGTTATTTTCTTCTCGGCACACCTTTGATATCCAAAAGAAGTCTTTGAATCAACGAGGCAGTTTATTTTTTACATTATAGATGTTTCTTTGTTAAATAGGTGTTGAAATTCGTGTTCAGTAGAAATCTTAAACTTTACAAGTGCAGAATCAAAAATCAAAAAGATAAAGATTTTTTTGTTTTTATTTGATATAAAGAATTTCTATATCCTTGATGAGTGTTTACTTAAGAGTGTCATCAGGCACAGGGCGAGAAAAACAATCTGATGGCCACATGTCCTATATTTGGTAACCAATCTAAATCATTAATATATGTCTTTCAATTCAAACCAGTAACTAGCGAAAGAAGCATTCGAAAACTAAGCAAGGAGAAATGGAAGAATTCTGTTAGAAACAAAGAAAAGAGTGCTAGATTGTTTTGTGATATCCATCCTTTTTTATCGAAGTGAATACTGGAAAATCTCCCCACAGATGAGGAAAAAATAAATAGAAGCAGCAGAATGGATGGTGTGAGTAAGCAACAAGGAAGTCTTAAAGAAAATGGCAACAGAAAGAACACTTATACCCAGAATCAGGAAAAGATGGCTGAAATTCCTTAGAGACGTAATGAGGAAAGGGGGCTTGTGAAAATTAACCCTCACGGGACACACTGAGGGCGAGAGAGGCAGAAGAAGACAACGAGCCACTTACCTGATGAGTTTGTGTGAGTGAATAGCGGGACAGGGACGGGAGACTTAACAAAGGGAGAAAAACTGCTAAGAGACACACGAGATAGAAAGTTGTGGAGAGCCATGATCGCCTATGTCCTGAAGAGACGCGGCACATAGGAGAAGTTGTTATACTCACTGTACCCATCATCCCTCTTCAGTTTTCCGCCCTACTCAGCAACCATTACCGAATTTTGAACTGAAACCTTTATTCAGTCCATGGAGATAAATTGTTTCTCCTTCAGCTTTCTATGCTTCATGAATATCGAGTCTCAATTCTCTTTTGCCTATTCTACTTTGTGCTGTATGTTCATTTCTTTCACTAAACGAAGAGACACATGAACGTTTGGCTTAAACTGTTAACGGATGTATGGAAAGAGATGTCCTATTTAAAACTGTTAATAACTTCGTTAATTATTGGTCATTTTCATAAAACATGTTTTATTTTGAATAATATAATGGAAGAAGTTCAGTAGATTGTAAACCTTCTACATAGTCACCAGAGTTGTTCACCAATATTTGTAATCGTCTGGGTATATCTTCGAGTGACGTCATCATTTCCTGTACCTTTTGACATTTTCTTCCAAACTAGATATTTAAGGACGATCGCTTCTGTGGGTATCAACCATGGATCCCGTACTCGTCAACTTCAAATGACAGTTTCTGATGATTTTACAATCTGCTGAAGCACGATGTCCATGGAGCCTGCGCCAACATCTTTGCACTTGCCTTGCCACAGTTCGTAACGTGATGCTAACTAAGCAGAGGTTCATGTGCTGTACCATTCTGGGCTACACTTACCACACTGAAATACAAGCAAAAATTAGCAATGAAATTCGACCACTTTTGGGATCACAATATATTTTGTTTCATGCAAATGCGGTGATATTAACAAAAGTTATAATAGTTTTCAATAGAGAATTTCTTTCCACACTCCCTGTATTTGGCATTCTAGCAATCGTGAGTTTAATCGCTTAGTCGGGTAGTGTGAAAAGTGTACATAATCTGGTTTAGTGAAAGAACTACCAAGGCGAATAGACTATAGAGAATAAACTGGATTCTCATTTTGTAGATTATCTCAAATATTTACTGAGTTTGTTGAAATAAAGACGATTAATGTTTATTGTTGTAAAGAAAAGCGTCTTCTTTTCGTTACCCCTTCGTCCTTAGAAGAAAAACAAAGAAAGAATGAACAGGGGAATTCGTCCAAGAAGTAATAGATATATCCAAATAACAAGACTATTTAGTAACAATATGAATATTTATTGCAATATTCGAAACTATTAATTAACTAAAACAGCTGGTGCACAAAGATTTTAGAATTATGTTAAAATGTCGAACAAAAAGAAAATCAACGAATCTCCATCCAAGTTCAGAATTTGAAATAAGATTAAAAATTTGCATACATGTCGAAAACTCTTGGACGTAGAAGAAAAAAACAGGTCATGAGGTATAAAAGAATTTTCTACCAAACTTTGTTAGTTCGATGTAAATTCAAAAATATTCGAATAAATCGCCTGAAAAAAAATGTGATTTCAAAACAGGTCAGACAGTCAACACAGAATTACAAGATCGTCTGCACAGATTTACACTGAGTAACTGTTTTTCCCAGAGAAAAAAGCAAAGCGGCTAGAGATCAAAAGACACACCAATAACTAAAACTACGTGTCAACTTCTCTAAGTCAATACACATACTTCCTTTTCTCCTGGAAACTGTGTGTAATCATCTTTACTAAACGTAAGAACTTTCTCTATATAAGACACATGTCTACTTTTACGTACATTTCAAATAATAAGACTTCTTACTTTGTAAAGATATCTCCATAAAACTATTTACACACATTTCCATCTACAAAAGGATGTGCGTGTAGCGTAGGGGTTAGTGGTATGGGAAGTAGCATTAGCGACTAGCGTTCGAATTTTAGTTTCCGCATAGATACCATGTTATTAAACCTAGCTTGAATGAACCTTGGAGAATAAATATAGTATCATAAAAAGTAATACATTTTCGGTATATTTTTATTAGAAGAGATTTGTCATGCTAACAGTCGTATTCTGATCTAAAAACATAGTGTTATGAATATGATTAAAAAGGCAAATATGGAAAACGATTCCCTTAAAGCTTATAGCTACAGAGCCTTCATTGCTTAACACTCGTTCATGACAATGTCGAAGTGTAACAAACTTATTTGTCTCTGCATGCCTTATATAGGTATCCAACAGACGTAGTACTAAGCAAATTACAAATGTTGCCAAATGTTGCCAATTAGATTATTTTTCTGAAGGGAAGTAAGAGTATTTGTCTCTATATGTCTTATATAATTATCCAACGGGCGTAATAATAAGCAATTAGCAACTGTAAACTTTTCCCAATTACAAATTACTTTTGTGTTTCTTTTTAATTTTATTTAAGTTTATTCTAAAGTCTATCTGGCTATAATGTAATGATAAAATAGTTTCGTATTTGATTGTTAAACCTGTTTAAAATTTACCAACAGATGAAATTGTACAAAAGTTATTACGAGTTCATGATTCTAACTAATATAAGACTGGATTTGCCGACAATGTAAGTAAAGAGATGAACAGACAGATGTTGTCTAAAACTTATTTGGTCAGCTCAACAACAAAAAAAAAAAACAAAAAACAAAACGAATATGACTCTCTGCCTGGAGGGCACGTCTAATCAGGCGATACGGCGCCAATTTTCACGGTTTATTGCCAATGTTCTCTGGCCCATGTAAGGCGTAGTAACCGATTTCGTATCGTGAAGAATGGTACCTGAGTTGATTGACATTGTAGTGGGCCGTGTGTCGGGGTCACCATTATGTAGAGTTTCGCACGTCGGCGATGTTGTTGAGTAGAAGTAGATGAATACATGTGGGTAGAAAATTCATGCTACCCGGTTCAACTACATGAGAAAGCTGGACTTTAAGTCCAAAGAAGGCAAAGAAAAACAAACACAAGACCGATAAATATATGTAAACAAATATATGTATTAATAACAACAAGAAATGTACAAGTTACCTGGACAGTTGCATTGATAGAGTGTGTGTGGTGAATATTATGCGTGTGCGTGTGTTGTGTTGTGATGTGATGAGTGTTCGTACGTACGTGTATTGTGCTTAACGTGTTCCCAATGACGAAGAAGTTCGTAGACGATATTGAACGGAAAAGATTTGTCGTCTCGATTAGCGAGACGGTGAATTGTAGTCGTCACATATTTAAGCTTAAGTAAGCAGTCGAAAAATGGTCTGTTGCTGATCTGCCGAGGTCTGCGTCTGCCTCTCTTCTGTGTGGTCACACGGGCTTTGGGTTCCTTTTAAGAGATCATGATCACGTGGGGTGGCTCCGGAATGATTTTGCACCAAAATTTCGAAGTGCACTTGCGGGAAACCTGATTGGTAGAAATGAACCAATCAGAGGGCTAGATTTACGAATGAAAGTTGGAATAGTGCATTACTCGAAGAAGGTAAGATTGGGCTAATGGACGAGCCCAATAACATTATAGATGCGGTTTACGCTGTAGATCGATGGACTGAATGCCATTCGTGTTGAACTGATATCTGATTTGATGCATTTTTCTCCTTTCTTGGATGATTACCATATTTGTTAGTCATCGGCCATGGTGAGATTCGAACCCGGGCCTCATTGTTCGAATGCGAACGTTCTAACAACTCGGCCACAAACGTGCCCATACATTTGAGATAGATCTAGAGCAATTGTCACCTCGATTATTGGATAGCCTATCTTTCTAATTCTAGCAAACATCCGTGATCAAACGGGGTTAAATTCTGCCCGCGTCCGCTAGAGTGTCACAACTACACTACTTCTTTACTTATTACATCACACATCATACAGTTAAGTTCATGTCTACAAACAGAAGAGAGTAAAATCATTCAGTGCATATAAACCATATGTAATTAAATTAAAATTTCACTTATCTTGTCTCTATACTAAGCTTCACGTAAATGACACCCACTCTTCAGGAGACATGATTGTAAATTTTACTTCTAGAAGCAAGATAAGTGAACATTTAATTTTATTTATCATTGCTAATGCTCAGTCTTTTGATGTCGTGTACAATATTTACAAAGACTGCTTGTCTTAAAATGGTTATCTTCTAGAAATACCCTGGTGGACCGTTTTTTGTCGACATGCAATCTTTTTTTTTATATATATATATATATATATATATATATATATATATATATATATATATATATATATATATGTATATATATATATATATATAAGACGTGTTATTAAACACTATATAACTCTCCTGCCTGATTATCTTTTTTCTCGTTTTTTTCTTGCTTCCTCGCAAGTTTCTTAATATTTGGGTCCAGGTTGTTGAAGTAGAATCCCAGTCGATAGCTTTTGGGTTAGTTCATTACTGGTAAGGAGGGGTTTGATGTTTTTATTGGAAGATTAGTTATTAAATATGTTTCATGTGTTTTTGCCAGTATTAAATGATATTCTATTTATGTTGGATTTTGGTTTTTGATGAGAATCGCTTCCAGAATTTGTAGTCGTTTTTTACAATTGTTTTTATTGAGGATTTTAGTA